CATCAGGAATTACCATCCTATTCATCCGTAAGAAGCACGGCAATCGTGCCATCCATAAGGAAGGCATTGTAGTCACACATAAATTTGATATCGACCGGGAGAATGTTCGTTCGCCATACCGCCATGAAAAGCAGGATCGGTCGCATGGCCGCAATTCGCCTCATGGACTCCTTCTGAGCCCCACAGGCCACCAGATTTTTATCGTTTTCCCACCTGTGCAGCATCTCCTTGGTTCGGACCTCGTACGATGAGGCACATTTGAGCACAGTGTTCAGAACTAGGATGAACCCGAGGGAAAACGAGGGTCCCAATATGTAAATATTCAGGGGAAGTATGCCATGCATCTTGATTGACATTAGGTTCAATACTACAATAATTCCGGCACAGCTGACCAGCATGAAGAGTGTGACGGAGTAGAGCGGCGGTGCTACGTGGAGAATAAGTAGCACGATTCGGTTGTAGAGAATGACAATTGCTCTGGAACACGCGTGCAGAGTAATCAATAATTGGAACAGTTTAAGTACAAATGCTAGAGTCACTGACAATGGAGGTCTCCCAACGTATGTATGCTCACAGATTTGGACCACTCTAGCGTCGATCGATCTCAAACATAATTAGTATGTATTGTGTCAAATTTTACAATAAAAATGATGTCCTCAGAATAGATGCATTATTCTTCAAATTAGCATGAAATTTGAAAATGGAACTATCTGCAAATGCTCAAGTTTGACGGAGATATTTGCATAAAAAGAGGAGAAACCGCAACCCCAACCCCAAATTTTTAATTTTTTTAAAATTTGCTACACATTTTGTCCGCTTTGGATGCAAATATCTCCGCTAAACCTGCGCATTGGGAGATAATGTCATTTGCAAATTTCATACTAATTATATTTGGTCTCCTCTTTGGCTTCCTCCGTGCACCACGTATCTCTCTCTCGCTCTGCATCTGGCTGGATCCTCTTCCATCTGGGTCGCGGGTGTGCCAGGGCAAGTAAAGTGTGTCCAAAGGGCTTTCGCCATGTGAGCCTCGTCCACTCACACCCCCCACCTGCGTGCCTGGTGACACCCCCTGCCACACCCGTCCCAGCAACGACAAGCTGGCCATCAGGCGAAGAAGGATTTCGCCGGACCCTGTGCACTGGAGGATCTACGCCTTGGAGGGACTCCCTAGGTAGGTTTTTTGTTTGGCATATCGGGGTGGTGACCGTGGGGAGTGGTTGTGTGAAGAGTGGCGGAGGGGGTCGTGCATGACGGAGGGCGGCATTGTCGGGTCTACGGGGGTCCCATGACCTGATTGTGTTGTGACGGGGGAAGGGGCAAGTGGGGGTGTCGTCGGCCCCGGCTACGGCTTCCATGGGGGACGTGGGCAAGATCCCGCGGTCCGTGGACAGCCCCCGCCCAACAACCTTCACCTGTCTACTTCCGCATGCAGACGCCACCCTCATTTGGATATCACCACCACCCCATGGAATCCGCCTATGCATCACTGCCATGCATTTTCCTACCTGGTGTACGGCAGTAATGGGTCAAATGGTGTATTGGGTCACCTTCCCAATACATGTAGAGGTTTTCCGAGACCATCTCCGGTTTTCCCTCTACACCCTTACTGTCACATACATTTTATCATTAGACTATGAGCTTGTCATATATTTGTCATAGTATGTATTTAGCCTGTATTGGGATGCCGGGTGCTACTTGTGGATAATGCCCACAACTAAATACATAGTTTACCAGATAAACTGATTTGTGTATCATTAGATGAAATCATGTATGTATATATGAATGTATGAAACGAATGTATGAGATGATTGAAAAGGCCGACGCCATATCAATCTTGAAATAAATACCTACCTACCTACCTACTAATTATATTTGTGACCGATTGACGCTAGTTTGGTCCAAATCTGTGAGCATACGTTGGGAGACCTCCATTGTAAGTGTCTTGAGTTGACACTAAATACTTGCGTGAAGTAGATTAATTTATGGAATAATGACACTGTCAAGTTAGGTCTTTAAATTACTTTAATTAGTCCAGACCAAATGGAGTATGTACATCTACATATTTAGCTGTACAGCCTTGTACCCTACCCCTACGTGCATAAATCTTGAGTGATAACTGAATCCTATCTCTCGAATTAATTTAATCACAGTACAACTTTTCGACTAACAAGCACAGCTTTTGAGATGCCTGTAAGGGATAATTCATCAAAAATCATATACATACGCCTACCTCCGTTCTCTTCCCGCGACAAGCAGGGTTCCTCGTTTCTTGTAATCCGAGTCAATTAGACAAATGTTGTGCAGAAGTATCCACGCCGTGAGGACAAATATATATCCCATTCCAAGCAGGATTTGGCCAGCCGATATTGCCGAAAGTGTGACAAATATGAAGGAGCAGAACTTCACACCGATTCTGACCACGCGATTATGTTGATACGTAGGCCACCAGAAGAAGACAAAGTGGAACGAGTCTAATTCATTGTACACGCCGAAGATTGCTAAGGCTGGAGCCATGTAGATGATAAAGAATGGGAGGAGGCAGACCAACTCGCTGAAAAGTTTCTTCAGGGGGGGCATTTTTAGCTTTTTTCGTTTAAACTTGTCCTTATTGATTATTTGATCCATTTGGATACCTTTATATGGATAAATAATTTACGATTATGCAATACCAATTAAATTTACAGAGAATTTAAGACGTTGAGCAGTTATTTTACAAGGATCTGCAATTGTGGTTGTCAGGTAAATATTTATTAAAAAAGTTCCTTCACTCCGTATGGGGAACCTGGCACAATTACACTGCAAAAATTTGGTATATATATTCGCTGTATAGCAACATAAACCCCAGGGTAAGGGAAACCCCAGGGTTTTGCTATTGAGAACCCATACCCTGGGGTTATACCTGGGTTTCGCGGGTAGTCGAGGTAGTCAGGGTAGGTTTTAGGGGGAAACTGAGTCACGACCTGATGTATTAAGTTGTGAAAACACTTTGCTTTTTAAGCAATTTCGCAACAAACCTGTCAATTAATTCAATTTTAATAACTTGTTAAATTATTAATTTGTTAGTAAAGCCCTAGTATAATACTTTATAAAATTTGAAAACCCAGACTACGGTGGGTATTGTTCATTTTTACTACCTCAAAGCCACCAAAACCCGCAAAACCCCAAATACCCCTAAAACTCAGGGTAGCATACCCTGACACACCCCGATTGCAATCGGGTGTAATTTTCTAACATCGGGGGCACATTGACACCAATTACCAACAATATAGCTACACCGTTAATATTTGACACGATTTTTTTGCAGTGTAACTTGTCTGAGGACCCACAAGAAACTTAAACTTACCCCTGCGGACTAACTCCTCCTCCAGATTGAGCAGCCCATTCATCAATTGTACCAGATCGATGTTGAAAAAACACGAGAAGATCGTGATCACACTCCCACCGCCGGATCCGAACGTAATTATGGCTATTGAGAGAAGTTGCATGGGTGAAGCGAACGGTTCCTCCGCGATAGTCGGAAAGTGACCCAGATTAACGGAACGATACGCAAGATACAAAAGCTGCGCGAGTTTCGGCGTCCACGCGCACAACGCCATGCTTACGACGCAACCAAATAGACATCCAAGTAGATCTTTTATACCGCTGACGGCGATGAGACGATTAGTTGTTGGATCAAATTCGATGGGGAGGCGAGGGAAACGTTTATATATTTTGGCGTAGGATCCTGCAACTTTGAATATTAGATCGGCCATAATATTCCCTTAGGTTTTTCGAGGGAACGTTAACGGGTATCTGGGTAATTCGTCAGGTATGTAAATCTGAATCGGTTTTTAGCAAGGTTGCCAAAATTGATAATATTTACCCAAAAAGAATGTGATTAGATTTTATACGTATTCTTATTTTGTTGGAATTATTAATGTTGACTTCCTGCGCATTGAAGATTTTATTAAATCATTTAAATCAAGTTAAAGTAATTTAATTAATTTAGAGTAGGATTCGTATTCTATGTTTCCAGCGAACTATCGTGCAACCGGAAAATCTATGTATCTAAATCCTATATGAAATTTTCAATTTCACAAGTTTTAGTGCTTTGAGGGAAAATGTTTTTATTTGTGGAATTGCTAAATGTTTGTAAAAGTAAAAAAATGTAATTACCGGATTAAGCCACGCTTTTCAAAATATGATTAATGCAAGTAATGAAAGGGTATTATATTTTCCTAAATAAGTTAGAAAAGTTTCTGTTGGTCAGATTTAATTTATTATCCAGGAATAATTTAATCAGTAAAAAGTTTTAGATTTTTTGGTTAGGTACATATGTATACATTTTGTAGATAGCGGAAGCTCTTAAATGGTGGATGAAATGAGGGTTTAATTGTACGTTTGACCAAATTATAATTAACTTTAAACAGTTTACGAGCTTTTACAATTTCACTATTTGTCTTCCATGCCAAATGGTGATGAATTATCTCCGCCCTCTTCATTTCAAGGTTGTCCATGCTTGCCTAATCTTAAAAATATTACGACTCATGACGTTTTTCTGAATCGAAATCGCACAGGCTTTCCAATGCACTAACCTGTTTTGAATTCAGACCCGTACTTTTAGTGAAATCAGCTGTTGACACTTGACTTGTTCCTTCTTTAAGCTACAGATGTATATTTACAGAAGTAAATAAATACATGGTGTCTCGAAATAAAAAATAGAAATTGATTTAAAATTCGGGCGATATGAATTTAGCGAATAAAATGGATAAATATTATTGGTGAATTTACATCACATAATTAAAAGAATTATACAAGTATATGAACAAATAATTGATGTTGATAACTCTATGTTGAATTAATTTTAGTGATTGGTTTTGAGGGATAGAGGCGCTTTTAACGAAAGTTTATCTTCTACTATGTAATTGTTTAAGTGGAGTTTTCCAAACAGTTTTAATATGATAAATGACTCTAGATTTTGTGCATTGCCCATGTTTTTTAAATGAATTATTGAACAATTGTTTTGGCAAAACTGGTATATTCACATTTTATTTGAATAAAATCTTCTTAAAAGTATGCATGTTTCGCATGTGTTTTTGGTAAATGAGTCGGAATACTATGTTGGAATCCGGGTCTTATGTATAAGTAGCTTTTTACCTAATGCCTCGGTGGCGCGGATTCATCCATATTATTCCCGAATTTAACCATTTTTTCCACCAAATTGGCAGCGATCACATTGCATCTCAATACGACAGGATGTAACCCGTTATTATTGAGCCGGGCATTATTCAACCAGTCCAGTATTGCCTGTAGATCTTTTGTAAACTGCGATGCGACCACTGCACGGCCCTCCACGGACTTTTTCTTCCCGTCAGGGGGCACTACCCCCTTCAACTTGATCTCCTTCGTGAATTGATACACTGTCCAAATCATGACAAAGTAGGAAATATAGGTGAAAAAGGCAAGGGCCATGAGGGCGAGAGATAGTCGGCGAGAGGAGGCGGTGACGCTGTCATCTTGTTGTCCCAGAATGCAGACATTTAGATAAACGGACACCAAAAAAATCCCGAGCTGACCTTCCCACCATGCCTGAAGTTTCCAGTAATGTAACTAAATAAATAAAAAATGCAATAATTTGCGAGATTTCGTCTTACTAATTCAGAAACTACGTAAGTGCAGTCGATGTTTAATTCATAAAAGAGCTAAGTGCAGTCGATGTTTAATTCAGAAAAGACCTAAATGTATATAAAAAAGGGAATAATACGGGCAGAACGACCCCTCTCCGATCGGGGAATGTGACACGTCAAAATGTCGGGTTTTTCATGCTGATCAAGAATACATAAATTTTTTGACTGGCAAATGTATATTATGGTCACAAAAAAAGGTCAAAGGTCAAAATTTTTTATTTAATTTTTGGACGTTTCAGGGCATTCTAAAACTTTGTCTCACTTTCCCCCATGGCGGGAATTTTTTTGGAGTACTACCTAGGACTACTAGCTAGGATTTCTAGCTAGGACTACTAGCTAGGATTGCTAGCTAGGACTACTAGCTAGGATTGCTAGCTAGGATTTACTAGCTAGGACTACTAGCTAGGATCGCTAGCTAGGACTACTAGTTAGGATTGCTAGCTAGGATTGCTAGCTAGGACTACTAGCTAGGATTGCTAGCTAGGACTACTAGTTAGGATTGCTAGCTAGGATTGCTAGCTAGGACTACTAGCTAGGATTGCTAGCTAGGACTACTAGTTAGGATTGCTAGCTAGGATTGCTAGCTAGGACTACTAGCTAGGATTGCTAGCTAGGACTACTAGTTAGGATTGCTAGCTAGGATTGCTAGCTAGGACTACTAGCTAGGATTGCTAGCTAGGACTACTAGTTAGGATTGCTAGCTAGGATTGCTAGCTAGGACTACTAGTTAGGATTGCTAGCTAGGATTGCTAGCTAGGACTACTAGCTAGGATTGCTAGCTAGGACTACTAGCTAGGATTGCTAGCTAGGACTACTAGCTAGGATTGCTAGCTAGGACTACTAGTTAGGATTGCTAGCTAGGATTGCTAGCTAGGACTACTAGCTAGGATTTCTAGCTAGGACTACTAGTTAGGATTGCTAGCTAGGATTGCTAGCTAGGACTGCTGCAATAGCAACGCTTTTCGCGTACCTAGTAGAACTAACCTAACCTGCTCGCTTCGCTCGCTTAAAAACGAACAATACCCCAATATTGGGCACAATTACGATAATCGATGATCCACTTATCTTTAAATCTCATAGTGCCCCAAAAATTTTACACTTTACAGAAAAATGATCCACATTCGACATTCGACAACAAAAGCTAGTAATCTCATGTCACCTCAAAAATATTCCCGCCATGGGGGAAAGTGAGACAAAGTTTTAGAATGCCCTGAAACGTCCAAAAATGAAATAAAAAATTTTGACCTTTGACCTTTTTTGTGACCTTAATATACATTTGCCGGTCAAAAAATTTATATATTCCTGATCAGCATGAAAAACCCGACATTTTGACGTATCACATTCCCCGATCGGAGAGGGGTCCTTCTGCCTGTATTATACCAAAAAAAGTAAAAAAAAGACTTATGTACAAGTATGTATTTACTTATGGCTACATTGCGCGAGACATGAAGAATCATTTTGGCAAGATATACATACCATAAGCCATACATACATACTTGCTCCTAAGTCTTTTTTTACTTTTTTCTACACACTTAGGTCTTTTCTGAATTAAGCATCGACTGCACTTAGGTCTTTAAAGAATTAGTACGACGATTTGCAAAATAAATTCCAATTAAGTATGAAAAATATAAATAGGTACATACGTCTCTTCCTCCTTGCATAAGTTTCCCGCCCAGGATACACTGCATGATGAAGTAAATTAGGGCGAAATAGCCCGGGGTAAACCCGAATAGTTTTACATCGCTGCCAGCATCGGGTTTAAGTCCGCCGTTGCTGCACAATTTGGAGAAAAACGCGAAATATTCCTGCTCAAAGGGGGTTAGCCATGGAGATTTTGATTGGCTAATTTCCTCCCCGGTGGAGATTGATGGAATCACTGCATCGAATTCATCATAGTCTGGAGAAGTAGAATCAACCGGTGTGGCAGAATTTATATAGAAATCTTTTGCAACTACGACGTATACTGCGGAAAGGATGAACGAAGCTGGGATGAGAAACATTATAAACTGAAAGAAACATAAATACAAATCAATATATTTCCAGTTTATATTCATTGTCAATAATTTTTGCAAAACTTTGTCGCCTGCGCGCAGGCGACACATTTTGTCCTCCGCATCTACGGAGGTACTATACGGGTCCACCATTTTGGTGGTAATTTATCACTTTAAGGTAACATACATATGTAGAGGTAAATACGGAGGCAAAATCCTGTTTATGATAGTGCCGATTGGTAATGCTCTGGTAACAAAAATGTCACCGGCTCGGGTTACTGTGCGTTGATAAATTATTCTTGTAAATGATACCCAACATAGGGTCGCATAGTACAACGGAGATATGTTTTGCCCAGTTAATTAGAGTGTACATAATTATAAGGACTTAACTAATATGTATTATCTCATTTACTTACACAGTACAAGACGGAGATGACGGCAACCCTTCCCCGGTAGGAAAAGTGTAAGTGGGGTTCGACAGATTCATGCGCCCCTTCCTCCTTCTCGGGAGGCGAATACTCTCCAATCCGTATTTCTGATGGGGGTGGTCGTTTTTCCTCCATTTTTCGACTCGTACGAAATGAATTCAGTAAATACAAACTTTAAGAATTGCTTACGCAACCTAATCCAATTCTAAGAGCTCTTTCTTCCTTTCAATGTAGGATGAAGTATTGTTTGAGTATTAATTAATTACATACAGGGTGGTTAAAATTAAAATGTCACGCTATGTACAATAGAAAATTTTTCAGTGATAAATCTCCATTAGTGACAAGATTTAGGATTGAGATTTTTATTAATTATTATCAAAACAGATGGAACACTGATGACAAAATTGATGAAATGTTGAATTTCAGAGACAAAATTTCGGTAACTAATGGAAATTTGCAAATTTTTCCGATTCAAAAATTTGTTATTTTAGCTTGACATTTAAACCACTAGTATAGTATCCTTCCACCAAATCAAAAATCTTTAAGACCGATAATACGTTTTGTACGTTTTGTCTTTGAAGAATATTCCTTCAAAATAAAACTAGCCGGGATATGCATGGATACATATTTATCTACATATACTGTATTGTATCTGGTCTGGTCGGGTGGATTACAAGTAGCCAACCACCATACCACTGAAAGTCACCAAACCAAGGGAACGTTCATATATTACGTCATCATTTTAGTGGATGGGAAGTTTATGTCTTCATATCTTCCCCATGTTAAAATGCCCTATCCCATACTGTCCAGGCTGGGTGGGTAGATGCTAAAATCGAGAATTTTTGCTGACATAATATATGGATGGCCCCCAACGCAAATGAGACCAGAGAGGTGGATGGATGGGCGAACTGAAGAAGAAGAAGACTGACTTACTGACACTGCCCAAGGCGTTAAGTATATACATACATGGATACAAAAGACGATCAAGTGTGGGACAACGTAGTATTTCTCGGTAAACTTGCAAGGCAGAATTTTTTTATGGGCTCTTCTTACTAAGAAATATTATACCTAAATATGTAAATATGTGGCAAAAACTAACAACCTGTTCAATGTGTGGGCATATTACGTATTTATAATGTTATGCATACATAACTACATACACGTGTAGATGTATGCATGCAGTTTAATTCATGTTGAAATGTTGGTCAGTTTTTCGCCATAGTGATATTAATGTATGGATCTATGTATCACGTTACCAAGAAAGTGATAAATAATTACTCCATGCATCTTTTTATAAGTATAGATTCCAAGATGCGACTTAATTAAAGCTTTCAAGAAACAATTGTAATATATTTGTACTAGCGTATAAGCCCGTCTCCCTTCGGGCTTATTTGATTTTCATGAAAATTAAGCGATATTGCTCATAATTCCACCGAATTATTTTTGTATTGTATATATATTATTCGCTGGAAATGTCGGTTGGAAACTAATGTGAAACTTTCCCCACTTCCACTTCCGTCGCGGAAAATTGCTTTCACTTCCGTTGCAGACAAACATTTCCAGCTTATAATGTAGATCTCGCAATTTATCGTCTACTGTACGCGTTTGAACTAAGGTTTTATTTATCAGATAAATTTCGAGAAATTATAACTATGTATTTATTACCCACAAAACTTTCTTTATATATAAAAATTAAATTATTTTATACAGCAGCTTAGCTCAAATGATACACATGTGACATGTGATATATATATTAATTAAATCTTTACGGATGTCTATAAACGCACCAGCACATATTTCCATACGTGTAGTGGGACACCCCTCCGAATCCGGAACATCCGACGAGTGATCGATAACAGCGAAGTCCGCAATCCATCTGACCGATGTTGCCAACTAAATAGGAAGAAAGATTAAAGGTTTATTTTTTGGATTATTAGGATGTCTTAAAAACTATTCGCATGCTTGGATTGCAGAAGAGTTTGAAAATGTTTTGCAAATTTCGGAAATTCTGTAAAACATAGAAATTAGCAATGGGGTTTTTCACAAAAACCCAGGTTTCTCAGGGGTTTTGGTGAGTTTTTGTGGGTTTTTGTATGATTTTGGGGCGGGTTGAAACAAACTTTGAGTAAATTTAATTTAATATTCGAAGTCAGCACGAAATTTAGAGCATTTCCATATGTGACTAAAACTTTCAAGTCATAATTTCATGTTTAAGATGTAACCAAATAGATAACTAAATATGACTTATGAACATGTTAATAATTCTTGGAAATTGAAGTCACATATGAAAATGCTAAAAATTTTATGCTTAATTCGAACATTAAATTAATTTTACGTACATATGTAATTGATAGAATTTTGTTCTACTAGCCCTAAAATCATACTAAATCCCCAGAAAAACCCCAGAAAACCCCGCAAGAACCTCATTAAGCATGGAGGTTTTTCCGGTATTTGATACCTACAAAAACCCCAACAAATCCAAAAACCTCAAAAACCCCAAAAACACGGGGTACCGTACCCTGCTATTGATACATTTTGCGAACTTTTTAAACTTTATTGTACTGCCAGCGATGTGTAAATACCACATTTTGTACAAAATTAAAAAAACATACCCTTAATCCAACATTTTCCTTCGTCAAAACTGTTTTGCGGAGCGTTCACGGCGGCTGCGCATGCACTGCATTCGTCCGCCGTCTGGGGGAAGTCACACTCGGATTTGATGCAGCCACAATTGCACCGCCCCCAATTTACGTTGGCGTAACATGCTGAAAATATAAATTTTTTGGAATTGGTTAGTAAAAGTTGTGAAATAATTTATAAACGTTGTAATGAGATTTATAAAAGTTCGGAAGAATGTAATTTATAAGAAATAAGTAAATCACAATTTTTCTAAAAGAATTAAATATATGTAAAACACAGGAAATTACTCGTAGAAATTTAACACTATAAGAATTATAAGAATTATAAGAATTTTGAAATGAAATGTGTAATGCTTTTTGAAACATATCACCTAATTTGTCTGAATTTTGAAATAAAGTTTAAAATTTTAAAAATAAGTTTTAAAAATTTTGAAATAATTTCTTGGATTTTTATAGGATATAAATATATACTTGGTAAAATTTTCGAAATTTACATAAAATGTTTATTAATTTAAGAGTAAATTCAAAAATGTGTTTACCCATCACGACACAAAGGATAAGACAGAAACTTAGGGAAATTTGAGCCTTCATATTTACGTGTTCTGTAAAATGCTATGAAAGTGATGGTGACAACTGGAGGCTTAATTGTGGAATAAATGCCATTCCAGACTTGTCTGCCTTTTATACGAGTGAAGGAATTCTAACACCTAAAACCTAAGGCTGCCTGGGACACAGGCACAAAAATAATTTCGTAAGAATGATATTAAGGGCTTATTTTTGGACAGAATGGGAAATGGATCGGTAAATATGTGGGGAATGGGTTTCTCCATAGAATTACGGATCCGTTTTCCATTCTCTTCAAAAATCAGCCCTTAACATAATTTTTTTAGGAATTCACTGTGCCAGGCAAGGTTGAGTTGTGAAACGTTTTTAGAAGGGATATATAATCCATCCGTAAAAAAACTGAACCTTCCAGGTACACGAAGTTAAGTATTTTTATATTTGTGCAGGTTCAGAAGTACCCTGTCCTAATCCGATTTACTAAGAAGACAAAAATTTTGTAAAATGTAAACGACCTTAATACCAAACGGTTCCAGGTTTTTCTCCTATTTATCCAGTGTTTCGGGTGCAAGTAACCACCTGCAAGAAATAACCGCAAGAAATTGGTTTCTTGCAGCTATTTTTACCCGCAAGAAATGCAAAGTGCAAGAAACTCATTCCCGCCGCCACAGTTCTGTAGGCGCGTCGCTAGATGGCGCTGTGTTTCTTGCACTTTCTTGCATTGCTTGCACCTTGTACATATTTCTTGCGTTTCTTGCTTTGCAGTGCAAAAAATGAGAAAAAACCGCAAGAAACGAAACACTGTGTTTATCCCATCTTGTTCATATTTATTCAAATTTTTCCGACGGCTTTCAACTTGACGAAAATAGTCAAGGTAAGAACGTCCAATTCATGGAATTTTGAAGGATAACGAGGTGACATTTGCAGGGACATGTTCTTCTAGAAATGTGTAAATTTACCCTGATGAAGTTCTGCTTATTTCTACGGCTGGATTTTCACGTCGTTAACCAATATGCAGACTGATTGGGAGATAGGGGTGCGTTAGTTTTGATAGTTTACCAAGCTTGACAGCTTTGCGGAGCCCGACCAGCGTGGAAAACCAAGATGGCAAGGCCACGTCCCACAATCCCGATTTAATCCTGATTGGTTATTGACGAAGTGAGAGAGAGGGAAAGGGGAGGGCTCTTCCTTCTCTCTCGCTTTGTCAACAACCAATCAGGATTAAATCGGGATTGTGGGACGTGGCCTTGCCATCTTGGTTTTCCACGCTGAGCCCGACCCAAGAAGAATTGTATTTAACTGGGTTGTTTACATAACTGCCCAACAATATATTACATTTATATTTCATTTACTTAATTTATTTTATTTACATTCATATTTACATTTAAAAGTTACATTTAGTCATCGCATATTTAGTGTCCTGTTATTTACGCAATTTAAGCTTAACTTTATACGTCCACTAGTGCCCCATGTTAAATCTCAGCTCGACTTTGATAAATGGGTACGGGGCCCAAGGATAGATCAGTTTTTTAAATTTCATAATGTTATTTCATTAATAGCATTTCATTAGCTTCTTACGTAGTAACCTTCCGCTCTATTCGAGGATTATGAAGTATCAGCATCAGAGCAACTTCAGGATTAAAGGTTAAAGCCGGATTTGGAAGCTAAATTTGAATAATATTAAGGGGCTGTAAATATGTAAATTTACCCTTGTTTGGGTATAAAGGGTCCACGACTTGTTTGGCTTATTCTGCCCGACGTTTGCCCTCAAATTCGTTAAAAGGATTATAATCTAATTTAACTATTCAGGTTTTCAGCCTGTCTTCTAATTAAGGGATTACATTTTGCAAAAGGTTTGAAATATCTATAGCATATGAATGTTTAAGGTCAAAATATTTTAAGTGGCTTCTGCATTTTCATAAATATTTAGAAAACTAATTTATTTAGTATGCAGTGTTAACGATTGATTTTTGGAATTTATTTTTGTCCAAGAAAAAAAAAGGATTTTGTATAAAAAGAGTACCCCTTGAAAAAACAAGCTTATTTTTCCTCATTGTTGAGCAAGCTTCTTCTTCCCTTCTTCCCAACGAAGGAAAATATATACAAAATTTGAAAAATGGACAAGGTAATTAAATTATTTCCTAATGTAAAAAATATTGAATAATTGAGTTGTAAAAATTTGATAGAAATTATGTTTCGTATTTGTATCATATTTTTAATTGATTTCTTACCTCACTTTCAGAAAGTATTTCTCTCCTGCCTACTCGTCGCCGTCGTGGTTTTGAGCACCTGTTGGGAAGTCGAATCCAAAACCCTGGTCAAGCGACAAGAGGATGCCGATTATTTCGAATTTTTTGATGGGGATTCGGACCTGGATTTCATTCAATACCCGAGCGACACCTCTGAGGTTATCGATGACCCGGGAGATGGCGACACCGCTTATTTTGATCCTAACGACTCAAGTGATTCCGATTCAATTTAGAAATTTATTTTTTATCTTTTGATTTATATATTTTTTAAAGTTTAAATTTAATTAAATTTGTGTTTTTACAAAATATTTGACTCTGGTTTGCATATGAATTGAGGCATTAATGAGAACCAACATTGAAAAAAAGTTTTGAGAACTTTGTTACTTATTATTTATCGTGTACTTAATAAATTCAATTGTTTCTACAAAATTTCTATCTGAGGATATTTAAACTTTAATTTTACACAAAACAAACACAATTACACAAATTGTGCTTAAATTCTAACATAATCCTGGTTTTTCACGTCAATTTAGACGACGTACATAAATATTGGCGTCGATCCGAAAACTATTAAGGTTTAAACAAATCTTGCAAAATAAGTTTGAATATCTTTAGAGAAGCCTTACGAAGTTTGAAATTTGAATAAAAAATGCGATTTTTATGGCTACATATGTATCCCTACAAAATTATATTAATTATCAAATTAGAATCATACATGTTCAAAAAATATTTATTCATTTAAAGTTCATTCAGTCAAAGCCTTGAAAAAACATTCATTCCTTATTCATAATTTGCAAAAAAATATTAATTAACTATTCAACATTTATTCATTATTCACCCTTCCTTCATCACTCATTTTATTCAAAATTCACAGCATTAGAGGAAGTTCTCAACTTTCCCTATTTATTAAGCGTTGAGAAAAAAATGAATAATGAATTTGCAATTTGACATTTATTTGCAATTTATTTAAGCATAAATAAGTCTTTTAATAGGTAACAGGGGATGTGGAGGGGGTTAAAATTTTCTCAAAATCGATCACGTGATTTATGGAAAAATAGTCCCAAAATAGTTGCTGGTTGACATACGCATCATGGAATTTAAATTTTATTCAAACAGTTTATTTTCTTACATCGGAAGCACAACAATTGGAAAAATATTTAGTGTTTCTATGTGATAGCCAGCATAATTGTCAATATCTCAATCACTCGGCTACAAATATGTATCATAGCCTAATTTTTTGTTTTCTAACCCTCTCCAATAAATTCTCAAAAATCAGTACGGCCTTACACAGTAAAATAAAAATACTGTAAAGGTAAAATACAACTGCAAAATTACCACCAATCTGTAACCGTTGCACCTTCTCAACATCTCCTCGACTAACCGATTCTCGATTTAATCCGTTAAATTTAATCATTCTTAAAAATTGGATATATCTCCGCCAAAGATTAATCATCCCAGCTTGACATAATGCCGAAAATCTGGCCTCTAATTGCGGATCCATTCCGTAATCTACAATCCAACCACGCTCCGTTTTATAGAATTCTTCTCTACTTTTCACAACGTAAGAATTTGGGCGCAAAAATTTCAAGTGGGATTCATACTCGTCTATTTCACTGCCATACGGATAATTGCAGATTTATTACAGGAGCTAATTGCATCCATGAGGGTCATGTTGGGTCTATCTCGTATAACAAATATCTTCGATTTGAGTTTCCTCAAAAACTTTAAGGTGTCACGGGAGGGTTTTTCCTTTTGGTATTCCATAATTGAAATATGTAACCTCGAAGCAACTCGGATTGTTTCTTTCCGTTCTATAAAAGTTTTAGAGATTAAGTCGTAATCTTTTAAGCTGGGAACATACAATGTATAATTTCGGGTTAGGATTTCCTCAAATTGCGACACCATACTGGGTGTAAGGGGTGATGTCAGATCTGTCACGTTCTGTCCCTTGTACGCATTACTGATGACGATACCCATCAGTAACCATGGCACGAAGATAAATATTGATGACCACGTTTTCCTCTTGGACGGAGTAATGTCAATCCCTTGTTCGACCAGAAGAGCGAGGAAGAGCAGGATTTCGTTGCAATTAATTTTCGTAAGCTTGAAAATTATCCGCAATATAGAAGCCGTTACTAAAATTAGAATAACTAGGGAAAACCAAGGCCAGAATTGGTATGCGGAAACGAAATGATAAAAACTACGTCCGGATCCGGCCTCGTTAAGGAGACCGTCACAAGTAAGGAATCTGGGAGATTCGGCAGCCATCCTGACAATTGGGATGTGGGTTGCTGTATTTATTTGAATGGTAGTTCTTCTGGGTTCCTTAAGGTTCTTGCTGGTCATGAAGGTCGTTACCTCGAAGATATAACTGTTGTTGGGGTAAATTGCGGAAAAGGTGGCGATATCGATGTTAGAGTGGGTCGATATGGTGAGAAAGTTTGGGAAGCTGGTCTTTTGTATGTTTAGTATCGCCATTTGGGAGTAGAGATCGCATATTTGAAATATTCTGTCTGGATGAATGGTAGCTGCTAATTTGAGAAACCCTTCGATTAATGTGATCCCAGCTGGTGATGGGTAGAAAGTGAATTTGGCTTTTTCACACGTATTACAGGATATGTGCCATTCGGGATGTTTGTGATTTTGAGACATGAAAACCACTGCGGAATGCGACTGGCCTATTAAGATAATTTAATTTGTGAATACACATTTTATAAATTTTGCAAATTCTATGATTAAATCCGAGAAAATTTAAACCAAACGTAGTTTAAGGTTCCAATGGATGACGCGTTGGCGCGCAATCTCACTAAACCCCTGTCCAATGTCTTCAAATGCAATTTCTAAAATTTAATCAACTCCATGAGTTTTGGGATAGCTGAAACTATT